GTCGTCGTCGTTGCTATTGTGGCCCTCATCGTGGCCCTTTAAATTCTCTTTATTGTCATCTTCTTCTTCTTTTTCTTTATCTTCATTGCTGTCTACATCTTCTTCGTCATTGTCGTCATCGTCATCGTCGTCGTCGTCGTCGGCCTCTTCTTCTTCTTATTCTTCCTCTTCTTCTTCATCATTATCATCACCATCCCTGTCTTCGTTGTTACCATCGACTTTAACAACACTATCCTCGATTATATTCTACCAGTGGTCTCAAACAACATTGTTTATATTCATCCAGACTCTCGTTTCTTTCCTTTCAAGCCGATGTTAAAAGTTATTCAGTGCCTGCAAATTATATACTTGTACGGTATCACTAAGTCAGGATGGCAGCCAATAAAGCACAAATTAACGCTGTACAGACCAAGCCCGTTGAGGTCTCTCAGCAGCTACAGGATGGAGAGAAGTTTATTAAATGGGATGAGGTAAGTATCATTCCTTTCAGTAATAACTATCTAGCTGCAACTATATAGCATTGGCATTTTAGTATCAATGCTATGATACTACAATTGACAAGTAGAATATAGTCGATGCTGTGTTACATTGCGGAGCTATTTTGTATGCGATAAAAGAGTTTTCATTCCATTAGATGCTCTAAGTTGGTTGTTATATATCATCCATTTATTTAGAATATTTATTAAATAAATATATATATATATATATATAAACGATATATATGTATGTATTAAAATAATATATATTATATTTAATTAGTTATAAATTTTTTCATGCTATTTATATGTAGGATTCTGGAGTTGCAACGCCAGTAACATTGAAAGTAGATAAATTTGGTTTTTATCTGCATTGGGTAGATCAAAATAATGAAATGGATATCTTGGACATAGCTACAATACGAGATACACGCACAGGAAAATATGCCAAAATACCAAAGGTAGTAACAACGTTTAATCTCCTGCTACTCTTTTACTTTTTGACTATACATTTGTCTTATTTTCCTATTTGAATGTATAATTTTGATGTATGAATTTGTTCTTAAAATTTGTATTAAATATCTTACATATGCTGTATGCTATATATGTATCACCTGTGCTTACTCGGAGAAAGATAAGAGTATTTAACAATGCATATATGCATCACTGCAACAGATACGGATATTACTTTGAGGGATATCTATAATTAAACCATGCCTTTGAGTAGATGATAATGACGCACAACACTACATAATAATTATTGATAAAAGTATAAATAGAACATTACCTACTTTATGTACTTTCTATAACTTCTGTATTTTTCTTTATTCTTCCTACCTTGGATATAGTTGAAAACAATGCTAGTCGCATAAAAAGGAAAGTAGTTCCCATTATCGGTTTTCCCATAAATCAATATAGATAATAATGAATAATATTTCTACAGTTTGCATAATCCAGTTTAAATATTTTTACTCGTGTAAATAATGTTGATGTAAACAAACTTATTAAATGCTTGAAATATTTAATAAGAAATAATGATTTTAAATGATCTCTACTTTTATGAGATTCAAAGGGTTTCTTAAATACGGAATAATTTGATTTGCAGGATCCAAAACTAAAATCTCTAGTAACTATGGGATCTCAAGATTCTTTAGAAGACAAAACTGTAACAATCTGCTATGGATCTGACTTCGTTAATGTGACATTTATTAATTTTTGCACAACACGTGCTGAGATCGCACAACTTTGGACTGATCAACTTCTGCAATTGGCATATAATTTAACACAGCTAAATACAAGTACAACTATGTTTTTGCAGAAGGCACACACAAGATTAGTATTAACAGCTGATAAGTTGGGTAAAATACCAGTGAAGAAGTATGTCCTATTTTGCTATTACAACTGATGTATTTGTGTATCCAAAGTCAGATCCTATTAAACATATATTCTAATCGAATTATGTTTCAGTATAATCAGAATGTTTACGCAAAATAAAGAAGATCGTAAGCGTGTTGAAAAAGCTCTTGATATATCAGGTCTACCATCTGGAAAAGTAAGTTAACACACATTGTTATTTATATTATTATACTTTAGAACTACGTTATTATTGATCTTTATAATAATAGTTTGAATGTTAAGAGTTTGTACTTTTTAAAATAGAAAATGTTTAATCTCGTTTCAGAACGACGCTGTACCCCTTCAGAAATTTCAATTCGAAGATTTTTTTAATTTTTATAAATCTCTTACTCAGAGATCAGATGTAGAAAAAGTATTTGAAGGAATTGTTGGCAATAATAAACGTAGATTAATGTCTGTTAAGCAGTTTGTAGAGTTTTTAAACAAAACGCAAAGGGATCCGCGATTAAATGAAATACTTTATCCATACGCAAACGAAGCAAGAGCAAAAGACATAATAATACAATACGAACCAAATAAATATAATGCCAATCGAGGACAATTAAGTTTTGATGGCTTTTTAAGATATTTAATGAGTGAGGATAATCCAATTGTTGCTGTCTCCAAATTTGAACTTTCCGATGATATGGATCAACCACTTGCTCATTACTTTATAAATTCTAGTCACAATACTTATTTAACAGGTATGTGTAGGAATTTCTGAAAAAAAAAAGAAAAAAACTATTTTATTGATTATGCATATATATATTAGTTATGTAGTTTATTTTTGATTAAAGGATAAATGTGGATTCTCTGATTTTAGGTCATCAGCTTACTGGAAAAAGTTCTGTTGAAATTTATCGTCAGTGTTTACTTGCTGGCTGCCGCTGCGTTGAATTAGACTTTTGGAATGGAAAGTTTGATGAACCTGTTATTGTACATGGGTAATTTATAGTTTAAAAAAAATAACACAAATGATGAAATTCTTTATAGGAATTTTAATTTATGTTAATGTCGTTTTCTTAGGTATACATTTGTACCTGAAATCCAAGCACGAGATGTCATAGAGGCAATTGCTGAGAGTGCCTTTAAAACATCAGATTTTCCTGTAATACTCAGTTTTGAAAATCACTGCAATCCACGGCAGCAAGCTAAAATAGCGCAATATTGTAGAGAATTATTTGGTGACATGTTGTTAGATGTACCTCTTGAATCTCATAAAGTATTCATCTGTTTTTTTTTCATATTTATATTTTATTATTAATCTTTATTTTAATAATAAATTATATTATAAATTTGTCTTGCATTTTAGTTGGAACCTGGTCAAGAATTACCTCCTCCATCTTTACTTAAACGTAAAATAATAATAAAAAATAAGAAGAAACATCATCATCACCACCATAAGAAGCTTCATAAAAAGCAACATGCATTATTACCAGAGGGTGGGGAAACGCCCCAAGAAACAGATGAGAATGGCATAGTTAATCCAGCTGCTGAAGGGGAAAATGGTCCTCCGCCGGATATTATACCTGAGAATGAAGTAGTCGATGGGGATATTAATAATGGAGAACAACAAATTGGAAATGGGGATGTATCTCATGCACCGATGCTTCAGCAAAGGCAAAATAGTAGAGATAGTACGCAAGAAGATGATGGTATTTATCTATCTATCTACAAAAATAAAGATTTAAACAAAATATTACTGTATCTTTTAATATAAACGCGAATAAATATTTTTTAATTGACATATGTAGACGATGAAGACGAATCAAGTACAGAGGAAGATGAATCTAATTTGGAAGAAATTAAATTAAGATTGGGTGATAAAGTTCCTGTACCCGAAAAAGTGGCAACTGCAGCTAAAGAAACAGAAGCAGGCGCAGAAATTTCAGCATTAGTCAATTACGTGCAACCTGTTCATTTTAATAGTTTCGAATCAGCTGAAAGTAAATATCCATTATTTACACACACGCATTTTATTTTGTATTAATTCTTTAATATTAATTGTACGTTTATTTCTTTATTATAGAAAAAAATCGAATGTACGAAATGTCATCATTTGACGAAAAACAAGCTACGACACTTTTAAAGGAAAGACCATTGGAATTTGTTAATTATAATAAACATCAATTGTCAAGAGTTTATCCAGCTGGTACGCGATTTGATTCGAGTAACTTTATGCCTCAGGTATTTTGGAATGCGGGTTGCCAATTAGTAGCCCTAAATTATCAAACACTTGGTAAGTATTAATAAAGTTTAATTATGAATAAAATATCGGATAATTAGGCAAATTTATTTGTTTATTTAACGTATTATTAGATCTCTCGATGCAGCTTAATTTGGGTATTTTCGAATACAATAAACGCTGTGGTTATATACAAAAGCCAGAATTTATGAGACGAAGAGATCGTCGATTGGATCCTTTTGCGGAATCAACGGTAGATGGTATTATAGCAGGGACAGTACATATTTATGTGATATCAGCTCAATTTTTGACTGATAAAAGAGTAGGAACATACGTGGAGGTGGATATGTTTGGTTTACCAGCGGATACGGTTAGGAAGAAATTTCGTACAAAAATTGTTCCTAATAATGGAATCAATCCTGTTTACGATGAGGAACCATTTGAATTTAAAAAGGTAAGAAACTCTCTCGTTATTGTCTTATCTAACATGTTAACCCCTTGGCATATATCCACGAGTCTGACTCGTGGTAAAGAATTCGTGTTTTAAACGAAAACTACGAGTCCTGACACGTGGTGACGAATTTGTGCATAAGTTGTCGCGTATTATTACTACAACCAGCGAATTCAGTTGTTTCACATCGAGTATACATTGAAAAATATACATTTTGAATCAGTTTGGATACACGGCCAAAGAGCTGAATGGCACTGATTTTCTTGTTTACTATGGCACGTGCAATTGGCTGATACCGTGTAGGACAAGGGGTTAAATCTAACATTTAAACGCTTAATACTATGACAAATATATTTGATTTAAATTAGGTAGTATTACCAGAATTGGCTTCCATAAGAATAGCTGCGTATGAAGAATCCGGCCGATTGATTGGTCACAGAGTATTACCTGTAGTGGGATTGTGTCCAGGATATCGACACGTTGCACTTAGAACAGAATGTGGTCAACCGTTACCATTAGCAAGTTTATTTCTACGTGTGATTGTGAAAGATTATGTACCACACGGCCTTAGCGAATTAGCTGAAGCTTTGGCTAATCCTATCAAATACCAAAGCGAAGTGGAAAAGAGAGAGAAACAATTAATGGTTTTTAATGAATGTTTAGACGAACCTTCGGAACAAATTGAGGTGAGAATTAGGTGATAGATAAATAATACTAATTATATTAACACAACATTATTTACTAACACTCAAACTAACATTTTATAGGAAAAAGATAAAGTTAGCGAAGCACCAACTTCTTCGAAATCTACCGTAAGTTTATTATAACAATGAAATCTATTAACCAATTAACTCATCTTACTAATATTTATTTTTGTTACATTTATTGTCTTTTTGTTATTTTCATTAATTCTAATTAACTTACTTTCTTTTTGCAGGAAGAGACTGGTAAAACAAAACGATTACAATCAGTAGGTGAATTACCAGGTCTTCAACCAGCAGCAAGCAGTAGTACACATGGCAGACCATCGATTATTGGCATAAATACTGCTGAAACACCTGAAGTTGAAGATAATGCACCATCTCCTGTAGTTCAGTTCGTCGATGCAACTGCAAATAAAAGCCCGGTTAATGCTAGTAGTAGTAAGTATATAACAAAGTATAAATATTCAGAGAGAAAAAAAAAAAGCTTAATATTATGTTTTTTTTTTTTTTAAAGCGAGCGAAGAAATAGTAGCTGAATCTTTGGAAAAACTTATGGAAAATAAATTGGTCAAGGAGAAGAAAATGGAATTAGAGAAAAAGTTGGAATCTTTAAGGAAAAAACACGAGAAGGAAAAAATGCGAGTGCAATCTCAAAAGGGTTCACTGGATGGAGAGAAACATAAATCTAAGTTTTGCATGAGTCATAAATTAGTCAAACGATTATCAAGTAGAAACATGTTAGTATCAATGTACGGTATTTTTTATTTATTTGAAATAATGATTAAAATTGATCCTTTTGTTTCTATTTTTTTTTTTTAAACAGCTTCTCAAGCGACGTGGGTTTAAGTAATTTCGCTTTAGCAGAAACTTCCGAATGTTCGGAAATGGAAAATCGTGAAGGTGTTGAAGGTCTATCAAGAGGTTTACCTAGAAGTCATAGTGAACGATTATTGGCTGTGTGTAAAGTACACGTGCAACAAGAACGTGAGTTACAAGAGAAATATCACGAGAGTGTATTTGCGACAGTAGAGAAGGTGATGCGAGCATCTCAGTCCAATCAGTTGAAAACGTTGAAAGTTCTGCAGGATAAGGAAACTGCTGATGTTATGCGTAAACTTCAAGACAGTAGACACGGTGAAGTATGTATATACTTCTTTTACATATTTTTATTTTCAGTTAATTCATTTTGTTTTTGAAACAAAAAAAAATATATATGTATATATGTATATATCGAATAGAATATTAATTAAATTCGTGTTATTTTGTTCACACATAAACAGGTAAAGAAATTAGCTAAAGCACACAAAGATAAGGCTGAGTTTGATCGAATGAAGAGAGAAGTGGCTAAGTCGACAGTGGAGAAGGGTGTTAATGAATGTACTAGATTAAAAAAGATTTATGAAAAAAAGAAAGCGGAGTTGGAAAGGCAACACGAAGAGGTCCGACAGAGGTTGGATAAGGAAAGATCTAAAGTAAGAATTCTCTTTTATATAAAATACATACAAAAATATTTCTTCTTTATACTTTATGATGATTATATACGATTAATATGAATTTGTAGGTAAAACTAGCTCTACAGGAAGAGTATAATAGTCGTTGTAGCAAATATGAAAGTGGAGAGTTACCTTTATCACCATCAGGTGGTACCAGTATGCCTGAATCACTCAGTGAGAATACATATTAATAAATTAGATGAGATATTATAATGACAAACATTATCTCTGAACAAATTTGGACAATATACCAAATGGAAGTACGGAAAATGTTGCTACAAACATTGAATAGATTCTAATGCAACTTTTATCTGAAAAAGTAGTAGGATACGATAGTGAATTTGTAAAACGGCAGATATAATACTTTCTGAATAGTGAAAGAAAAAAATGAAATCAAAAATAAAGAGAGAACGAGAAGATGATCTTAGGCAGCTCGTCAGTAATAGAACAAATTTTGATGAGCACGGCATACATTGTGTACATAAAATGAGATATTAATGTCTAACGTCTCGATGTTCAAATTCGAATGACAGATAAGATAATTTTATATATATATCTTCTTAGATAAAATAAATCTCTTATGTTGGTACTATAAATATATATGTATGTACTATATTAAATCGAATGATCGAATTTCAAAGTTAATTTGAATGACGAATCGATCGATCGAGCTTTACTTAGCAAACACGAGAATGCTGCCTTTCGATCTCTTCGTTATCGAAAATAATTCATCGATTCTTTTAAAACGAAAGAGAAAATAAACTACTTAAATACTGAAACTCAGTTACTAATGAGATATCAATATTTTAAAAAACAACCAAGAGAATCGAATCTGCCGTTGTTTATTATACAGTATTATTAACAGAGTTACGCATTCATTGAAAGCTAATGGAACATTGATTTCCGTTCTCATTATTATTAAGTATGACAAAATTGTGAAAACATGGAAAACATATAAGTTTATATGTAGGGAAAGAGAAAGAGAAAAAGAGAACGAAAGAAGGAAAGAAAGAAAGAAAGAAAGAAAGAAAGAAAAAGAGGAAAAGTAAGAGTATATATAATTCTAAATAAAAGAGTAAATCTTCCTAAGTGCTAACACTTAATCTTGTTGTTATATGCATAAGGCGTTATTTAATTAAATCAGACTACTTCTAAATCGCGTTCCAAAATGCTGTCTATATCGACGTTCTCAATGATCTATAATCAGGAATGATAATTGATCTTTTACGTCATACGACATCGGCAGATCACAGTCAAGAAAACGAATTCTCTTTGGCCTAAAAGAGAATCGTTGAGACATAGCGAAGATCCGAAAAGGCGCACATACATGATCTGATATATACCTATGTATATATTTTTGACTGAAAGTACTCCATATTAAAGACATCTTTAGAAATGAAATTTCGGTATATATTCCCGAGTTATTTATATATCGGACAAAAAAAAAATCATTAACTTTTGTTTAAAATCTTTCGCGCCTGATAATGAATAATTCCTTTTCAATGATAATATTTCATATGTTTTCATACACAAGAATAAATTTCTCTTCAATTATATATATATATATATATATATGAAAATTATATATAAAATTAATAATATAATATATATTTTTTAAATGCGTTAGTCAAGTTTTGTTTGGTAACAAATCGCGATGAATAGCGCTGTGATCTATGAGAGGATTTTTAGATAATTTGTATATACACGTTTGTGTGAAACACGTTTTATTTGGACGCGAAAGAAATAGCAAAAAAAAAAAACAAAAATAAAAAAAATAAGAAAAAATTAAGAAAAGAAGAAGGAGTAAAAAAAAAAAATAATGTAAAGATGAAAATAATACGAGAAAGATTTCAAATCTCAGAATTTCTTTATCACGTGCGTATATATTTTTATACAGATAATTCTCGTTTTACGAATTTGATTGAAAAACATTTAACTATTAAGATATTCAATGATAACAAATTGGAATTGTATTTAGAAATAGAAGATACATTTGTTATAATAATTATTAACATTATAGAAAAATATTCATTCTCAATTATATAATTATGAATGATTGTAATAAGAATAATGAATTCGTAAATATGAGAATGATCTGTATAAATTCAATGCTGTATAGTCTACAATTGGGTTGACTATAACAAGCGGAACCTCTTTCGAGGAAGACAATCAAAAATGTTACTTCGTGTAACATTGTCCTTATTGTTTCTATTGTATATGTTTAAAACTATATAAGTTATACGTATATATATATATATNTAACATTGTCCTTATTGTTTCTATTGTATATGTTTAAAACTATATAAGTTATACGTATATATATATATATACATAATAATACAAATAATAATAATAATAATAATACTAATAATACTAATAATAATAATAATGTTAGGGTGTAACGTAATCGTATAAGATAAAATCTTATAATAATTATTGTAAATGAATTTAGGGTATACAGATATATATATTACCAACTTATCTGAGTGATCTATTTAATGGTAAGAGAATTTATCTTGTGTGTGTGTATAATCCTGTCGTGTCTAACTTTCAATTGATCACGAGTTATTGTCAAAAAATAGAAATAATAAAAGAAAACAAGAAAGAAAGAAAGAACAAGAGCTACTACTATACATATTATAGTATGTAGTTGAGTTTATAGAAAAGAAAAAAAAAAAAGACTATGATATTAATGCGTTATAGATATTTGTTGAATTATTTTAGCGAGGCGCTGTATTGCTACTGTGTCCTTTAAGTTTCCGAAGGGTTGCATATATATGTATGTGTATATGTTAAATTATTCCCTTCGATCTGGAGACTGAACCCAAGTGATGAGGGTTGTTGATAAACTATGATCTATCATTGATACTTTGCTGCTGCCTCTTTATTTATTTCAATGGGGTATTTTTTTACACTTTGATGTTAAGCTTTTTGCACCGCGTCGAGCGCGAGAAAGAAAGAAACAAAGAATGAAATAGAAAGAGATAGAAAGAGAAAGAAAAATATAATACCACCCGATAAAAGATGGGTCAATCCTAACGTCAATGTTTTTGTGATCTTATAGGCGATATAATCGATATATATAGAACAAGAGAGATATATACAATATATACTTCGAATACGTGATCTCATGGCATTTAACGTCTCTGCAATTTCCAATATTCTCCTTTGTGTAATCTTTTGATGAACTGTATTTGGAGAATTATTTGTCCACTGATAGAAATGTCGATAGATAATTTTAAATGAGTGATACTTTCAATGATATCCTCATTTTACAGGAATCCTTTAATTATTCCTTTTTTTGTTTTCTTCTTCTTCTTCTTCTTCTTTAAGAGTGAAACAAATTTATATATAACATATGCACATTTATGTATACAATACTAAAGTTGTATGTCGAATTTGTATTTAAATATTTTTTCTATATTGAATATTTTCAAATATTTTCACAAAGAATATAAGTATATATATATATATATATTTATATTTTATCGGTAAATGGGCATACAATTTTTTTTTACAAATTTTCAATTGATTTTAAAATTCATTCGAGAAGATTAAATTTGTAATTTTAACAAAAAGAGATAAAAATATTATATCGTGTCCTTCCATATAATTATTATGTTTATAAGTTAATATATATATATATATTTTTTTTATTAAAGACCGTACTCGCTCAAATTTGATTAAAAAGGAATATTTAATTGAAGAGTGTTAAAAACTGCAGTTGGACGAGCATTTCACAAGAAAGAAGAAAGAAACAGTAATATGCTTGGTTTCCTTTTAACAAAGTTAATCTATATTACCGAGTTACAAAAACAAGTGTGCACAAAATAGAACTCTGTATTTAAAGTGATAAGAATGTTGTATGGGCTCGTATAAATGTGTGTCATATTTAAAATAATCCTGTAGAGGGAGGAGGGGAGGTGAGGGGAGGGGGAGGGGGAGAAATAAAAACATGTACGTATACGTATATATATATATATACATTGATGTTATCTATAAATTAGAAAGAAATTACGTGTGACTTTATAATAGCCTGTATTAGGCTTTAATGAAGGATGATCTCTAAGTGTAAAAATGTGAAAGAGATAATGATAATTTAGAATAATTACCGTATAATCAATTGTGAAAGAAGAAGATTTACATTTTGTATACGTTAAGAAAAAGCACAGAGACGTACAACCCAATTTCCAGTGTGATCCTTTGCCATTAAAATTTCCTATTTAATTTAAGAACAATTAATATATTATTAGACTTCGGTCAAGTTACTCCTATTATTGTTTTAAACGAATCTTTGTTTTTTTTTTTTTTTTTTTTTTTTATACAAACTCTGTGTTATTGTATTAACAATTTATATAATTATTAATTATCGTACCTTTAAGTAAGTTTAT